CGTGGGGACCCCAAACAGCTTCCCCCGTCATATGGCGGTGATGCCTCCATGCGAGGAGGAGCTTAGCAAGGCAATGCAAGTACAAACCATGAAACACCCTGGTTTGCTGGGGAACACCCTGGGGAGGTCCCTGATCTGCTGGCAAACATGGCCAGGCTGTGCTGGGGACATCAGGGGCCCCTGGATATGACTGTCCAGGGTCCTGGGGGACAGTGGAGGAGGGTCCCCAGCCCGAGGCCGCAGGGTGGGACGCGGGTGCAGACGCGGGTACTCACTCTCGCCAGTCATCACCCCCTGGGTGTAGCGCTTGGGCAGCAGCCCCGTGTACCCGTAGAAGCTGGATTGCTGCACTTCAGGAGGAGGCCCGGAGGAGAGAAGGAGGGATTATTGCCAAAATGCTGAGGGGGAGGGTGTGCAGGGGGAAGAAAACCCAGTGGGGGCCTAGGTGCTGTGCTGGCCCAGGGGTGCAGCTGTTCTGAGCAGCCTTCTTGCCCCCCAAGCCAGGGGGAAGGGGCTTTTTGCCCACCTTGGATGCCCCATTCATAGCTGTTCCCACCAGGAGTGGCCACCAGGTGCTGGGGTTTGGGGAGCCATAACAATGGCCCAAATGGCAAAGCCATCGTAACATCAGGGACTGATGCATGGTTTGGTGCTGGTGCCCCCATCCCGTCTTGAGGTGTGTTTGTGGGGGCTGGAGCAGGGACGTGAGGGTCATTTTACAGGGATCAGAGCAAGAGGTTGTCCCGGGAGATCCTGGCTCTTGGGGATGGGGGTGTTTTCAGGCTGTGTGTGTCCCAGCTCCAGCTGCTGTCCCACATACCTGTGCAGCCAAAGGCCACCACCCCGACAGCCACCAGGTTGATGGCGTAGGCTTGTCTGCGGGTGAAGAGCTCCAGCCAGACGTCGCAGATGCTGACGAAGAGCAGAGGCCCCAGGGCAAAAAGATAACCTGCAGGTGGGAGATGGAGGCAGATGGTGGGAGACAGCATAGGCCTGGTGCTGCCAGGGGCTGTGGAGACCCCCCACTCACCCACAGAGATCCGGGTGTGCAAGCTCAGCAGCTCCACCAGTGCATTGTTGAGGATGACGGCCACCAAGGCCACCAGGATGTAGGTGAGGCTCATGTCGAAGACAATGGACGTCCCTGTGGAGAGGCAGGGGGTGAGAGGTGGTGGGGATCCCACTCCCCTGGAAACAGGGCCAAGCTCTACCCAGGTTCAGGATAGTTGGGAAGATACGCAGCTGCTGGAGACCTACCTGGGTATTTATGGTGCAGGTAGTCCACATCGGTGATAAAGCTGTTGTATGGCAGAAGGAATCCCACCCCAGCCAGCAACATGGCAAAGTAAATCCCATGGTATCGATCCTGGGGCTCAGGATCCTCAGAAGCTGCCCCAAAAGGTGGGGAGAGGGAAAAAGGGAAAAAGATGTGACAGTGGCCCTGCTGCACCCATGGGACCTGCAGCAGAGCCTGAGCGTGGGGCGATGGATGGTGCTGCCATGTCCTTTGTGGCCAATGAGGGTTGGTCCCATGGATAAATGGCCCTGACCCAGAGAAACTTCTTCCCTAAATAAAGGCTTTTCAATGTGAGACCCAGGAGGCAGGAAAGCACCTGAGCTCTGGGGGTTGAGAAGTTTCAATAGCAGCCAAATAACCCAAGAGCCAGGCAGGGCAGGTAGCAGCCACAGCCAGGGCAGAGGAGGGGCTGGAGGAGTGTGGAGGTAGACAGGGTTGCCTTGGGATGTGGGGCAGGGCTGGGGTAAACCCCAGGGGCATCCCTGAACCCTGCATGGGAAAGGGTGAAGCTGCAGGCTGGGGGTGAGCCAGGCAGGAAAGCCAGGGCATGAACCCCCAACAGGCATTAGGCAATTTTGTGCCATTAATGGCCATTTGTGGCTATGAAACCCATCCTAGGAAGCTCCTTAAGTGGGTGGGAAACCAGCAGGCTTCCCTGGCCTCAGGGTGGGTGCTGTCCCTGCCCTCACCTGGCTCCATGAAGGTGAGGACACCCTTGGTCTGGCTGCCCCTCTGCAGCTCGTCCTCCTCCAGCTGGTAGCTGTCGAAGCTGAAACTCATCACCACGTTGCCCTCAGGAGTCCCTGCCGGGCTCAGCTCCTTGAAGCGCTCGGCTCCCACCGATCCCATGGTCACCCTGCTGGGAGAGAGAGCAGTGACACCCCCGGGGCCATCCCCTAGGGGAAGCCAGGGGTCTGCAAGGGACAGATGGCACGAGGCTGGCCCTGAGCCTTCCCCACCCCACGTACCACTGTGGCTTCCATGTGCTTTCTACCTGGAAAGATGCTTTTCCTGAGCAGATTGGGAGGGTCCCTTGACTCACTGGGATGGAGTTTGGGTTTGGGATGATGATGATGGGCGGGGGGGGGGGGGGGGAGTTTTGCCTCTCTCAAGGCTCAGCACTCATCCCGGCCCAGCTCAACACCTCCACTGCCTCTCTACCAATGCCAAATGCCACCATGCTTTCCAAAAGCAATTAGAGAAATTAATGGGTGAAAGCCACTCAACGGAGGGTGGCTACTGGGGAAGATCCTGGCTGCCTTGGGAAGCCCTTGCTCCCCCCAGGCAGCACACACTGACTCTGGTTTATGCCCTTTGTCAGCCTTTCCTGCAGCCTTTTCAGACAGAGGATAGGATGCAACCTGGCTTTTAAGGGCAGTGTTTAAGATCTGCCTCTCTGAGGGTCCATGGCACAGGAAGGAAGGACCCCAGCAGCACGTTTGAGAGAGTCTGCACCAAATGCATCCCACAAACCACTGGCATCCTCCAGAGATCCTACCAGAGCCACCCAAGCCATGGCTGGTCCCTCTGGGGCCACCCACAGCCCCAGCCCTGGGGGTCACTCTGTATTACCAGGGCCAGGCACTAGATGCCAGCCAGTCCCTGTGCCCACTGCCCACAGACCACCCAGCCAGCTGGGGGGGGAGGAAAAATCAATCTCTTCCAAGGCAACAGCCTGAGGCAGACAAGGGAAGAAAAACCAATTACAGTGATTTCTCTGGTCTCCCTGCCAGACATGGTGTTTGCAGAAGCAGAGAGGTTTCCCAGCATCTCCCTGGCTGCCAGGACAGGTTGGATGCTGAGGGAGCTCAGGGTGGGTGGGAAAGGTGGTGCCCACAGACCCTGTGAGCACAATCATAGAGGCTAAAACACATCTGCTCATTGCAGGGAGGGGTGGCACAGAGCAGCACTGCCACGGCCCAGGCCACAGTGCTGCTGGGGGCCTGGATGGGGCCAGGCTGGGGGTCCCCACCCTGCACCACACTGGTGTGGGCCCTAGGATCCCCCATCCCCAAGCGCAGTGAGTGGGACAACACAGCAGGGCACACATCAGCTGGGGACACTGCTCCATCCCATTGTTCATGGAGCAGCTGGCTCTGATCCCCTCCACCGAGCACCTCCCTGAGCCTGATGCTACCCCAGGCAAGAAAACCCAGTGGGAAGCATCTCCTGGGATGCCAGGTAGGGCTGTTGCAGGGCTTTTCCATAGTGGGGATCCCGGTTTGAGCACACGCCAGATGGAAGCACCTCATCCCTACTGTGGCCCAAACTTCCCGGTGCTGGAGGCAGAGCAGGACACGCTGGAGGGCCAGAGTGGTGGACCAGCCCTCTAGCACCCCCCCTCCCCTGCTCCGAGCATCCCTGCACC